TCTAGGTTATCATAAATATTTTAAAACTTTTTAAGTCCCTTATGGATATCATTCTTTGTTTTTTTTCCTCTAAAGCCCTTTCATTATTCCATTCTTTGCTTTAACTATTTTCCATAAAATTAGCTAGCTGAAAAGTAAAACACTTGCATATAATTGTCTTTGGTAAGTGCCCCCAAGAGATAATGTCTTTTGTAGTGAGTGATCTGAGACAGCTTTTTATGAGAATTTTTCCAAGGAACCACCAAACAGGTCATCCACTAAAAATTTTTTTGTGAATGAGATTTTTTTTTTGGGGGGGGTCGAACTCGGGTCTTTGCACTTGCGTAGCAGGTGGTGAAACCACTGAGCTAAATCCCCAGCCCTGTGAATGAGATTTTTGAAAATTGCTCCAGATTTATTCTGTCTCATATTATGGCTTCCCAACTACTGTGGGAATTTAGGCTGTCATTTTTCAATGCTACTGTTGAGCTACATAGCAGGGGTGAAGCTTAGGTAAATGAAAGGCCCACAAAACTCACTCTTCTTACCAATATATTTCTATTTTTCTTATATAAATATTTCCCAAAATACTGGAAGACTCAGTTAATTTCCAGAATTTAATTCTTTTAAAGTTCATTAGGAATTCACTTTTTATGTTTTCACCATTTTTTCATTGTTTTTATGAAGGATATTAGTCAGTTTTGTGTCACTGTATTTTTTAATTTTATATTTATTTTGTATTTTATATTTTTCACTTATGAAACAAGATTTAACTCACAGATTCAGAGGTTTAAGCCCCACACTTAATGATTACATTTCTTTGGACCCTTAATAAAGATGGTGGATTACACTAATGGGAGTTAAAGTCAGAGTGAGTGCTCATGTCTTGGGCCAGGAAAAAGAGAGAGGAGAAATGACTGGAGTCACACAGTTGTCTTCAATTGCATGCTCCCAGTGACCTAAAAATCTCCCAGTAGACCTTGCCTCTTAAAGGTCCACAGCACATCCAGTTCCCAGCTTGGTGATCAAGCCTTTAAATATGGACATCTGGGGGATATTCATCCAAACCATAGTGAAGGGATCACCTTTTAAACATTCTGACTTATTTTTTTGCTGATTTTATGTGAGCTATATCCTTAAAATTGCTAAAATTTCCATCTACTCTCATAATTAAAGTAGTTTTACTGTGTAGTACTGATTATAGCAATCAACTTCAATCCTTAAAGTTATACCTTGGTATTTTTTCAAATGATTACAATCTAAAGAAAACCATTTTGGTACATCTCAGCTTCTGTTGGTTTTATGGAAAATTTTAGTTCATCAGGAAATCTTATTTCTACAAACCATTTAATATTTTATTATATTTTTTCTTATAGTAAATGTTCCAGTTTTAACCTAAAATTCATCATCCTAATAGACATGGAAAAACCATTAATTAGGCAGTCTATCTGAATTTTACTTTATCTCTAAAGAAGTCACAAAATTTACACATAAATCTTACTCCACTTTGTGGATAGGAGTTATTTTGTTTCTGATTTTGTGTATACTCTATTTTACTCAGATTATCCCTGCCAATCTCAGCCCCCACCTTTTTTTGCAGACAATTCTGGTGAATGCATCATCAGGAATAATGGGTCAAGTGACATAAAGTTGACTTAGGTTGATAAAGGTGATCTGTTGCAGGGGAGCAATTCATCCACTGATAGAAATGATAGTAGGACCAGTAATCACCCTTGGGTGATCTTTTCAGGCATAATCATTTGTATCATCACATTTAGTACACAGAAACTATCCATAAGTCTTAAAGCAGGAGAGGAGTTCTCTATGTGGCAATGGAGTGGTAGATCTGAGGAGTACATACATTCAGAATTATTTGGATGGATTTAGGGAAAATGAATCATTTTGATAAAGTAGGTGAAAACAAAGCTATTAAACTCCTGCTTTATAGTTGTGTGTGTGTTGCATTTTGTTTTTGTCCTTCTACTTATACAAGTTTGATGTGACTTAAAAAACATACCTTATTTTTTTTCTGACAATAATAACAACATTAACTAGCATTTATTGGGCACTATTTTTCCCAGCCACTATTGTGTATTTTTATCTATATTAAATCAAATCCTCAAAATTAAGGTCTATTTTCATCAATTCTACATTAAAGAAGAGCAAATGGAAGTAAACAAAAATTAAATAACTCACATAACATGATTTGTGTTAAAATCAGGATTTTAACATAACAGTATAATTTCAGGGGCTGGACTTTCAATCTCTAAAATATGCTGCCTTCTAAAATATAAAATACTATGAAAGAATGTGTAATTTAGTAGCAAGAACAAAGGTAGAATAAATGATTATGTCTCTTATTTCAGAGTATCCATTATCCCATTGTTATAGGTAAATAAAACACTACCTCATTATGTCATTTTTTTGCTCAAATATTGGCCCCTCATTTCATTCAGGATAAAAGAAAAAATAGGTAAAAAACCTATTAGATCTATACTTCCTGGCTTTCTCTTATTTCTTGTCTTTCTACATTCACCTGATTCTCATCTCTCATTGGTACCAGCTTTTTTGATATTTCTGAAATCCACCAGGATATCATAAGACTTTGTCTCTGCTTACTACCTCTTTCCTGGAATATCAAAATGAAAAACTCCCTCATCTTCTGGATGCTTTTCCTAACATCTTACATTTTTAACAAAGCATATGCCAATCATCTTGTTTAATACTGTAACCCTCCTCTTGTAATTTTAAAACTACTCATTCATTGTGCTCCATTTTCCCTTCTGGCTTTTTCTATTCCTTTCTACCTTTTAATCTTATACTTTCTTATTGTAATAGTTGTGCATTTGCTATTGCTACTGTCAGAAAATACTACCAGTTCCATGAAGTCAATGAATGGTCTTCCTCTATAGGGTAGGTGTCCATTTATGTAAAGACAGAGAGTAACTTTTTAAATTTAAAAAGAAACTTATAAATATTATTAATGTCCAGCTACTTTGAATAGCCAGGTTTCCTAAGTCTATTCTTTTTTTTTTTTTTTTGGTACAGGGGATTGAACTTGGGACCTTGCACTTGCGAGGAAGATGGTGGAATCACTGAGTTAAATCCCTAACCGTCCTAAATGTATTCTTAAATTTTGTCTTTTATGCTTTTCACATGCTGGATCATCTACTAGATAACTCTTCTCTCTAGTCTTTCTGATAAAATGACTCTTCCTGAGATGAATCCTGCTTCCTTCTCAGGAGCTCACAGGATATCCAATTCAAAATATATTTCTATTACCTGAAACAATGTGTTTTAATTTATCTTTTGATATCCTTTTAGCCACAAACTCTACCCTTCATAACCTATTACTGGTATCTCTCAGCTCTGTGTCTACAGCATCTAGCATGTTGACATAATTCTTGACATATAATCAAGCTTCTAATCAATTAAATAAAACTTATTTCCTATTATCTCTACCAAAATCTCTATAGACCTAAAAGAACCTTTCTAATAATTTAGTCTTGTATCTGTAATAGGTTCATGGTATGTGTTTGTTCTAAAGATTAAAGGTTTGAACCAAAATTACTTGAATTTTTCTTTACAAAAAGCATTGTGTGAGTGTGTGTGTGTGTGTGTTATGTATGGTATTGGGGTCTGCACCCTGAGATAATCTACCAGTCAGCTACATCTAGCCTTTTATTTTAGTGTTGAAATAAAAACTCACTAAAGTGCCAGGTGGGATCCAAAGTTTCAAAATTCCTGCTTTAGCCTCCGTTGTTTCTGGGATTAGAGGTGTGTGCCACTATGCCTGCTTTATAGATAGCATTTCTAAACTGATAAAGCATAACCATTTAGAATGTGTTTACTGCCTATTGGCTGTTATGTAGCCACATAGTCTAGAAGCAAGAAGATAGGAAGAAGTCTAAGACTAATGTTGGACTCTGTGAAGTTATTTTCACAGCATCTTTAAAATCAGCCCTTTTTCATTAAGAGATGCATGGTCCATCTCGCATGTATCTGTCTCTCTACAGCTTATAAACCATTAATATCAGCAACATACATATTGAGAAGTAAATTAAGAAGAACAGTATAATCAAATTCTGATCATTTTTTTTTTGTTTTTTGCACAATTAGCAGTATATGCTTAAGAATGAATTAGGATAGCTTCTGAGAAAATTTTCAAGGAAAAAGTTAGCCAAGAATATAATACATCCTGTGCCCTTGGGCTAACTGTGATCTTTCTCCCTTTTCCTGCATGGTTCCAAAATAGTCCTAAATTAATTAACTTATGTGTGATCAGAATTGTGTATCGTATCTAACTACATTAAAATACACGAGAGAGTGTTATGGTTTATATCTGGATATCTCCCAAAGCCTCATATAATCATATGTGGGGGTTTTAGGGGTGATTGCATCATGGGGGTGTGATTGTCATCAATGAATTAGTCCACTGATGAGTTTATAGCTAATTGTGCTATTGGGAGGCAAAGCCCGGTCACAGGAGATAGGTCACTGAGGACAGGCCTGGAAAGGTCAATCTCCCTACCTCTTTCCTTGATATCTTTCTGCTTCCTGCCACCACACCATGAGCTTTTTCTCTTTTGCCCATGCCCCTCTGTCATGTGATCCTGCTTTCTAGCCAGTCAAATATGTACTGAAACCTCTATAAATCGTGATCCAAAATAAACCTTTCCTGCTTTAAACTATGAGCCTGGGGTATTGTATCTCAGTGATGAGAAAGTAACTAAGACAGAAAGCTTTTTCTTTGATTTTTAAAAACTTATTTCTAGATAATCATTTATAAACTGATAAGGATAAAATTACCAATATGCAGATTAATGTCTTATTTTGTTTTGCTTCTTCCATCTTTTCATTCATTCATCTACACATTTCACTGAAACTGAGAAGAAACAACTTTATGTAACAATAATTTCCAACAAGAAGATCTTATTATTAAAAGGATTTCCTTTTCTATAAGAGAACTTTTAGAGTCCCAGAGTGCTAACTGACTGTATAAAATGTGACCAGATACATACCGACAAGGATGGAGTAGACGATGCCTGGTCTATCTGATGAAGGCTGAATATTCCGGTCCTGATCAATGGCTTGGATTGGCGGAGTAACAATAATGGGATTCAGTTCTTCCTGGAAAAAAATTCAAAGAGTTTAGTTCATTCGCATTACTAACACTTTATGGAAAATTTATACTGAGATATTTTAGTTTAGATGGTTAAATATCAATGAACTGATAGTTAAGCCAAATTTAAAAATTTGTAATTTAACTTCTTGCACTAGTTAATTTTGAATCTGAAGAGGGAACAACATACCCTCAATTACAAAATAATAAGATCCAGTAAGTGTGTAGATAGAATTTTATAATAGGAATTTCTACTAAAACAAAATTATGGAAGGATAATACATTTTTAATTTTCCTAGTAGATTTAATCAAAAGATATCTGAAACAAAGTTTATAATGCAAAGTTTTGCTCTCTCATTTAGATAAGATTTATAATACTTATATTTTTTCCTAATTTTTTTTTACATTTCATACACGTATTAAAATGAAAAACTTTAAAAATAGATGTTTTAATTCTATAGAAATCTAAGTAACATCACTGAAATTTCATATACAAAACTAGTTATATATTATGCAAGCCTATACATTTACTTCATAGTGATCAGCAAAAATATTAAATTTACAATTATATTGCTTTAAGTCTTTGCTTTTCAATTTGATGTTCAGTGGTTTTCTGTTTTGTTGTCAAGACTAGGAAATTTTTTCTCTCTTGGAAAAGGATCAAATAACAAATATGTTTAGACTATTCCAACCACAGGCTTATGTCACAGCTACTCAATTCTGCCATTTTATCAAATAAACCACAGTGGGGACAGTTAAGTTACAATTAAATCTTATTTAGGAAAACAGTGAATGGCACATAGTTTATTGACCTCTATGTCGATAACACGTATGATGAAAAAAAAAGAAAAAAAGTTATGTATATGTATGTGTGTATACATATGTGTGTATATATGTGTGTATACATATGTATACATGTATGTATATGTATGTGTATATGTGCATATATATGCGTGTATATATGTGTGTGTATACTTATGTATATATTTGGAAAGTACATATGTAGAAAAATGAAAAGCTCAATAAACAGACAAGTTTAGGAAATATTATAAAAAAGAAAATACTGGAAAAAGGTAATTTACAGGACCGAAGGTCTTTTTGAAGAAAATGGTATTATGAGCGTATTTTCTAGAAATTTCATTAACATCTCTTTAAACTAGTAACTCAGAACACTGTTCGGGAAACACTACTTTATTTTTTATCTTTTTGTAACCATCAGCTTAAATATGTAAGTAGTAATCCTAAAAGAAAATAAAGTTTATCTCAATATCTGACAATTTCACATTCTGAAGAAAGAAAACAATATTCTTTCAATTATTTTTTTTGACTTGACAGAACATGGAAATACATTCTATCCTCTTATGCAAAACTAATAGTTTCAATTCTGAAGAGAAATGTACAGTGATAATATGGTAAAAGAGCAATGATAAAGACATCACATGTAATACTTAGTTTTATTAAAATTATCAGAAAGTTAATTATTGGCCAATATTTGGAAACCACATAAACTTAGGAGTTTGTTATTGTTAGTGATCTCTCTCAATGCTATGTTTTCCTGATTAAATAAGGAAGTAATGGTATTAGCAACCTACCAATATTCTATTTTATTCCTTAAATGTAGATTTAAACTATGAAAATAGCAAGACAATGTCCAAATTACTCCATACAATCCAGAAGATTATTCTTTAACATACACACACAAAAGCATTCCAACAAAACTCTTCCTCGCACCCCCTTTCTCCCTTCCTTTCTCTCTACCTCTCCCCCTTCACTGTCCCCTTTACTCTCTCTCTGTACAATCTCAATAGTCAGCTTAATTCATATAAAATACCTGTATTTGCCCCATAAATGAAACAATTCTGAGGCTCTTCAAAATACATATGTTTGAACATAATTATGGGTTGACCAGTTTTTGCTAATCATTTCTTAAAGGAATCTGATTATACCCACCAAAGCCTAGTTATAATTAAGCTATATTATTCACGATTCAATTAATTAAATATATGGGAACCTTTCTAAAATTGTGGTAGTTCTCAGACACTGAGAAGGCATTTCAAATCTGAGTATTCTTTGTGTCCTATCCAGAGGAATATGCCAGGTGTGATGGTTAATCTTCATTGTCAGATTTTTTGAGTGGCTTAAGAGACTACCTAGAAGATTAGCAAAGCACACTTTTGAGTGTGTCCAGGTGAGTCACAGGAGTATGACCTTAGAACTTGATGTTGTCCCTGGCCCCTTTCTGTCTTGCTCTTTCCCTTTCTCTTTGCTTCCTAGATGACACCAGTTGAGCAGTTTTCTTCCATCTGTCCTCTCTCATGCCTTTTCTACTTTGAGCCCAGTAGACCATTGATTGAAACTTCCAAAACCATGAGACAAACTCTTTCTCTTTAAGTTGTCTGTGTGAGGTATTTGGTGGACAGTGACAAAAAGTTGACTAACGCAGTGAGAAATCCCAAACACTTTCTGACTTATTTTTTCTGACTTCTTGAAATCATTTTATTTTTATCTATAATTTAAAAAAATTGAATCTGAGGTTTTTTTTTCTGTTAGAATGTTAAGTTTAAACAGATTGCACTGTTGAGGATATGCCTGCTGATTCACTCCTATTATTTTTGTAGGCCTGCCAAGTTAATAACACATAAGATTTAGTTTTGATAGTCATGTAGTTTAAGCTTACCTTCCAATAATATCAGGAAGATAATATCTGTTGAAATGAGCAATGGAATTTTCATAATATTATCAAAGTTATATAAACAACATAAAAGCTAAGAATAACACCCCAAACAAAACTAAGATTGAGAAAGGAGTACTAATTCCTCATCTTACAAAATTGCTTGTTAATGAATTTCATATACTCAGAAGTGAATAAAAAGAAATACTACTTAGAATTATGTTAATAATTATCAGACATAAAAGTGAAAATAGGAAAGTGTGACTATTCTAGGGAAATAGGTCTGGAATTAAAGGTAGATGGGATTAAAAGATATTTTACCTAAAGTCACTCAATATTGTTTGGCTATGTTATTACAAAACTCTGTACCACTTTTAATATGACAAAGAAAATTTAAATTACAGTAATGTGAAAATATATAAATGATCTTGGTAAAAGCTTCAAGTTTGTCGAAATTTAGAAGTAATAGTATTTAAAAATATCAATTTAGGACTCACATATTTTTCTTAACCTTTAGAGGCCAACAATTTACCTTCAAAGAATTTTTCTTCTATCACAAGTAATGATTGTACTTAAAGATGCTAAAATGAATACTCCAATATACGATACCTCTGAAGTAAATGGTCCTATTTCAATTTTGAACATTTTAAACATTAATAATACATGACAGAAGAAGATACTGAAAACTTTGTACTATTTAAGAAGAAACAGTAAAAAGTGATTTTCATAAAAATAAGTAAATCTGTCAGAATTATACAACTGTATATATATATTTATTAGAATAAACAAGACAGATAACATCCATTGTTTTGAGCACATGTCTCCCATAAAAATATCTATGGTAGATAAACCAAGGATGGGAAAACTATGCTTAGAAACAAGACAAATTTAAAGGAAACAATTATCCAAGAGTTTTGCACAGAATGCATAGGTCAAGAAACTTGCTTTACATAAACTGGAACATGCCCTTATAGCCAACTGTACATAAAATATGCAGTAAAATGAACCAGTTATTAGATGATGAAAGTAAAAGGCAAAAGACCTATACAATCTGAAGAGAAACGAGAGTATGTATGATAAAAGTAATCCATTTGTATAATATATAATCATATATCATATGTAATCCATTTCATATTGTATTTTGAAGAGAATACAATTAGAAATTAATAAATTATATATATAAAGATACAGAAGAGGGTCGGGGGTTTAGCTCAGTGGTTTCACTGCCTGCTGCACAAGCACAAGGACCCGAGTTCGATCCCAGGCACCCCCCCAAAAAAAATAGATACAGAAGAAATACTCAATACAATTAAAATAAACACCAATTAAAATATTTTATTAATGAATCTATCTTGAATTATAATTTTTTATAATTTTGAAATATCACATTGAACTTCAAAATATGTAAAATTAATACGTTAATCAAAAATTTATGTACAAAGACATGGAAACATTAATTTGATCATTATACATTGTACACATGTATTGAATTATCATACTGTATCCTACAAATGTATAAAGTAAAAACAATAAATTATATAAAAGTGAATGAAAGTGACATCAGGTATCAAAATCTGTGGTACATAGGATGAATAATATTTTAATACATATATTAGGAAGCTGAAAATTTGACAAGTTAAGTAATTTATTGTTTTTTTGAAAAATTAACAAGATAAATCCCACCACCTAGAAACTAAGTGAAAAAATAATAAAAATGAATGAAGAAAAATATATTTCAAAATATCCTTAATGTCCTAAAGCTATATCCTTATGACAAATCCTTTTTTCTAAGTTTGAGACAGGTTTCAAGGAACCTGAGCCTAGAATATCCATCTATATAAAAAGATTAAGAGAAGAATAATGGATGTCAGTAGGTTGGCTCTCCTACAAATATTTTATTTACTTTATTTTACCCTGTAAATTCTGTTCTGTGAAGAGAACATAATTTCCCTTGGGCACAAATATGTCAAGTAATCACTTATAGAATTTAGTCAATAGGAGAGTTAATACTTTTTTGTCAACTTGGATTTTACATGACTTATCCAATATAGGAAGAGATCACTAGTTTGGAATAGACTGTTTTAGTATTCCCTGCAAATAAAAAAATTCTACCGGTGGCTACTGCCAGAACAATTTCCACAGCTCTTGTCAAAAGGCAATGAATTCATAAATGTGTTTCTTTTGAAGGGAAGATTCTTTTCAAGAAGACAGAAATTACTCTTGCCTATTCTTCTCCTGTCCTAATTTCTCTTAGCTTCTGATTTCACTGTTTAGATAGTAGCAGAAATTTACATGGAAGAAATTAAAATTCTACCCATAGCTCAAATATGGAAAGGT